TTTTCCTTTTTGTCTTTTTTCGTGACCGGCAACGGGATCGCAACCCTCGGTGTCGGTGCACCACCGGGCCGGCCCAATGGAAAATTTCTAAACTGAAGCACACAGAGAAAAATGGATGGATAGAACAGAGCAAAACATAAAAGCATAAGAGGAGAGAGGGACAAGTGGATATAGTTAAAGGTCTAATGTATTTTTGATTGGATTCCTAGGCATGCAGGAAATAGGAGCAGAGCAGCATTTGGAGATACTCATAGAATTAATGACCAAGAATTTCTAAACTGATGGAAGATAACAACCACTAGATTCAAATTCAGGTAACCCCCAAGCAGGAAAAATACAGAAAAGAAAACCGTAACCAGGCGTATCTTAAACTGTAGAAGACCAAAGACTGAGAGAACATCTTAAAGGCCACTAGAGAAAAACTGACAGCTAATATAAGGGTGCTTCAAAAAGTTCATGGAAAAATAGAATTAAAGGATAATATGACTCTTTCCATGAACATTTTGAAGTACCTTGTATTACATTAAGTGGTGCATTATTGAATGCATTCCTCCTGAAATTGGGAGTAAAAAAAAAGATTCCACTATCATTTATATTCAGAAATACACTTTAGGGCCCTACACACTACAATAAGAAAAAAGAAGAAATAAAAAGTATAAAGATTAGAGGGGCTGGCCAGTTAGTTCAGTTGGTTGGAGCGCAGCCTTACAACACCAAGGTCCCAGGTTCAGATCCCTGTACCAGCCAGCTGCCATAACTAAATAAATAAATCTCCATTTAAAAAAAAATATATATATATATAGGTCCCAGGTTCAGATCCCTGTACCAGCCAGCTGCCATAACTAAATAAATAAATCTCCATTAAAAAAAAAAAATATATATATATACACACATATATATGTGTAATATAAAGATTAGAAAGGGAGAAGTAAAACTGTCATTATTTGTAGATGACATGACTGTTTATGTAGAAAATTGAACAGAATCTACAAACTAATACTAATACATGAGTATTAGTAAATTTGGATTTAGCTAAGTTGCTGGATACAAAGACAATATACAAAAAATATATATATATTTTTCTGTAATTTGCCAATCAGGTTTCTGTAAATTACCAATCAGGAAAGGATAATTATAAAATCCCATTTATAATAGCATCAGACACCCTGGAATAATCCTCAAAAGATCTGCAAGTCCTCTATACTAAAAACATTGCCGAGAGAGATTAAAGAAGACCTAAACAAACGGAGAGCTATACCATGAACATGTATTCAATATTGTTAAGGTGTCTATACGTTCAGTCCCAGTCAGAATCGAAGCAGGGTGTATTTTGCGGGTAGAAATTTGTATGGAAATGCTGAAGGCCTAGAATACCTGAGATGATCTTGAAAAAGAAGAACTAAGTTGGAAGACTTACTTTATAACCAATCTATAGGAATGAAGACAGGGTAGTCTTGCTGTAAGGACAGTCTTGCTGTAAGGACAGACAAATAAACCAATGGAGCAAAATAGGGCTCCATTGTCCAGTATGGACACTGCCAGCCACATGTGGCTATTGAGCACTTGAAACATGGCTAGTTCGACTTGAGATATCCTGGTTGCTGTAAGGACAGTCTTGCTGTAAGGACAGACAAATAAACCAATGGAGCAAAATAGGGCTACATTGTCCAGTATGGACACTGCCAGCCACATGTGGCTATTGAGCACTTGAAACATGGCTAGTTCGACTTGAGATATCCTGCAAGTATGAAGTACACACTGTATTTTGAAGGCTTGGCATAAAAAAAGAATATAAAAATATTTTCTTAATTTTTATATTAATTACATGTTGGTCATATTTGGGGTATATTGGTTTAAGTAAAATATATTATTAAAAGCAATTGCACCTGTTTCTACTTTTTAAAATGTGGCTACTAGATAATTTAAAATTGCATGTTTGGCTTAATGACCTTGATGGCAACAAAGATTTCTTAAACAGGCCACAAAAATACTATTCATAAGAAAAAATATTGATAAAGTGGATTATATAGAACTTCTGTTCATCAGAAGACACATTAAGAGATTGAAAAGGCAAACCATAGACTGGTAGAAAATGTTTGTAATCTGTATATCTTACAGAGGATTCTTATCCAAAATATATAAAGAACTCCTGCAAATAAATAGAAAAGGACAATTTTTTAAATAGGTAAATGACTTGAATAGGAGGTTCATAAAAGAGGATACCTAAACGACCACTTGAGGATGATAACATCCTGTTATCAAGGAAATGTGAATTAAAGAAGCAACACTGCATCCACTAGAATGGCCAATGTGTTATGGACTAGCAATATCAAGTCACTTGGAACTCCTGTACATTTCTGGTGGGTGTAAAAATTGTTACAATCACATTGGGAAAATTTTTGATAATATCCATTAAAACTAAACATGAACCTACCTTATAACCCAGCATTTCCACTCCTAGGTATATATCCAAGATAAATGAGCATATTGTCCACCAAAAGACATACAATTTATATGAACTTTATGCATAATACAAGAATTAGAAGCAACCCAAATGTTCCTCAACAGTAGAGTGGGTAAATTAATAGTGGTATATTTATATAACGAAATACTATGCAGTATTACAAAAGAATGAACTACATACTGTGATTCTATTTATATGAAGTTTAATAATAGGCAAACTAATCTGTGGTGGTAGAAATCTGAATAGTGCTTACTTCCAGTGTGGGCACAAAGATCTTCCAGAATGTTGGAAAGGTTATGTAACTTGATCTGGGTGGTAATTATATAAGTGTATATGTGAAACTCATCTAGATAGACACTTAAGATTTATGCATACTATATGTATGCCATACCTCAATTACTAAGCATTATGTTAGCATGTCTGATAGTTCCTTGATGATGAAGACTATATATACATCCCGTTTATTTCTGTAAAGACCAGAGCATAAAACACAAAAGGTACTCAATAAATAATGTGGTATGTAAATTTAGGAAAGAAGTTGTTTTGTTCATCTTGTTTCTCTTAACCTAACACCTGTTTTTTTCTCACTGCCCACTTGCTGTAGTCAGACTTTGCTGGCTGTAAGGTCAGTGATAGTGGTCCTTGCCACTCATGAAAGTACACCTATTTTTGGCCCTTTACTGCATAATATGGTCCTGACAGTATATGATATGTCTGAGTGTATGGAGAAGGGGGAGACTTTTTAATTAGGTGGTATAGACCAAGAATAATAGCTGTCTCTAGTCTGTGGCCTCAGAGAGTTTGATACTTTATGAGTATTTTTTCACTCTCTTTCCTTCTATCTCTCTTTTTCTCTTCCTTGTTATTTAGCATTCAACAAATACCTATTGATTACCCATTTTTGCCTGACCTTTTCTAGGCTAGTAGCTAAATCAGTAAATAAAACACATCAGGATCTCTGCTCTCAAAAGGTTTACTCTGTAGAGTGAGAAGACAAAAAGATAAGCTACTCCTTCTTTTCTTACCTATGCTTAAGGATCAAGCAGAACAAATACTAAACAGAAAACAAAAGCTTAGTCTGTATTCCTGTCTCTTCTTTCTTTTGTATGTATAGTTCAATTGCCTGCTTGTTTAGCAGTGAGAAAAGACTTTTGTCATTTTGGATTAACTTTGGCATGGCACCTGGCACAATGCCATGTGTCTGGTGGAGCGTAGTAAATATTTGTAACCTTTGGGAGTATCTGTCTCTGCCTGCTTGCTGAATTGCATAATTCTTTTCTGCCATATGCCTTCCTCAGGTTTTTTTTATTTTCCTTTTTTAAACTCTCATCACTTTTCTGGGAAAGCCTTGATTTATGATCTTAAGAAATGCAGTTTTCTGTAATGGTTTGGCTTTGGGACAGGTGAATCCTAGAATGGGTAAACTGAAAGTGTATCCTTCTGAGATGTTCCAACCAGAAACCTAGAATAGTGATTTTGGCAGTTAGGGTTGTTGTGATTAGTGTTCTTTTTATATACTGTTTTAAGTCCTGTATTGTGATAGATCTGGAAAGGTCACAGTACATATAAAACAACTGAAATTAAACTGGTCAAAGTCCTAGAAAGATTGTTAAACATAAGGATGTTCTGACTCAGGGCATCCTTATTTAAGCTTGTAATGACAAGCTTAATGTAGTTTTTTTTTTTTCGCCCATCATAAATATTCTCTAGAAAGAGATTTCATGGAGATTAGTAGCCTAGAAATTTTGATGTGTATCTAGGGTAGGAAGGAAGGAATTAATTTGTTTTTAGTTGGGATTTGCACAGGATGATGAGTGAAACAGGAAGCCATTTCCAGGTACAGAGGAGAAAGATGGTACAATTTAATAGAGAATAATTCTATCTTTTTTTTACACAGCACTTACTATTCAAAAAAATGTATTCACATAGCAGTTTATCCTCCCAGTAACCTTATGAGATATGCATTTTTGACTACTATTTTTAACCTTTTGGGTGAGTGGGGGTGCTAGCTGGTACTGAAATCGAACCCTAGACCTTGGTGTTATCAGCACCACACTCTAACCAACTGAGCTAATCGGCTAGCCTTGACTCCTATTTAATAGATTTGGAAACTAAGGTGTTAATCAACTTATCCAAAGTTAGTAGCTGGTAGGTGTTAGAATTGAGACTTTCTCATTCCAAGGCACCCAATCTCTTTTCCGTTACAGCTTTCTGAAAATATGCAGCAACATGTAGGTAGTTTTGCAGAGAAGGGAAGTTCTAGGGCCAATTTTATTGATGGCTAAAGGTAGATCTGAAATTGAATCTGAAAAGCAAAATAACTTCTCTGCTATATGGTGCCAAGAGGTTAGAACCCTCTCCTTTGTGAAATGTTTGTGATGTTTTGATCAAGCTGAGGGCTGATAGGAGGGAGGCTTCAGTACACAATGGTGAACTTTAGAATGAAGTAGAACCTATTGTGGTATTTTTTACAGAATTATTTTGGGAGGGTTCTGTGGTGCCGGTAATTTTCTTTCCTTTTGATCTCTGTCTCCAGGAGCCTCCAGAAGATGATGCAAACATCATTGAGAAGATCCTGGCATCTAAGACAGTCCAGGAGGTTGGTGGCTCATTAGATTTTATGTCACTAGCACAGATTATGCTCTCTGAAGAGATATTTGACTAGAAAACCTAGAGGGGTCATTCTTGGCTGGAGTGAGAGCCAGGCAACACTTACTTTTACCACCAGGGAGGATTTTAGGACATTAAACTTAAATATCTAGAATAGCTCAAACTGATCATTTTCTCTATTGTGATCCTAGAAAAGGTATTTATCCCTTAGTTGCTATAGCTCATTGAAAGTCATCAGGGAGGGCCAAAAAGAAGAAATGCAAAAAGAGTCCTGATGGAAATATTGTGGGGTTTTTTTCTTTACACCTCTCAGAACCATTGTTGGAATCCCTTAGAGAAACTTCCTGGGGTAGTAGAGCATGTTGGTACCAGTGAGAACCTGGCTTCATCTTCAAGTATTTATGACAGCAACTTAATTTCTTGCAGACTGAATACCACTGGTGTTTCAGGAGTGAGGATCTGGGGGATGCCAGAGATGAGTGCAATCACTTGGTTTCTCAGAGCCCTGGGCTAGTTTGGGTTTACCAGCTGGCACATAAGGGTGGCCTGCCTGGGATGTGGGCTAACTGTTTGCTGTTGGTTACAGGTTCACCCAGGAGAACCTCCATTCGACTTGGAGCTGTTCTACGTTAAGTATAGAAATTTGTACGTCTGTTTAAAGTATTATACGTGTTTGGATTTTATATTAATAAAACTTCCTTTCCCTTATCACTTCATTATCTTCTGTGTTTTCAGAGACTAGCCCCTAAGGCATGACCCACAGATCTTGTCTGATTCAAGTTCACCTTAGGCAGTAATGCGCAACTTTGGCTACACATAGAATTACCAGGAGATGTTTTTATGACTACTGAAACCCTCGTTGCACCGAAGACCAATTGACTCTGACTCATACTCAGAGTGGTCCCAAAGATTGGTGTTTCTTAAAACTCCCTGGGAAATTCTCATGTGCACCCAGGGTGAAGAACCATTGTCCTACAGCACATACTTTTTCTTTCTTGCATTTTTTTCTCCTTGCTACCTGCCTGCTTTCACTAACGTGTATTAATGATAGCCTGCCCACACATGCCTTCCTTCCACTCTAGTTCCTATAGAAGCTACAGAGAGATCAGTTGCTTGGAATTACTCCATTTTGTTTTGTTTTCTGCTGTCCTTGAGGGCAAGGCCTTTCTAAGGCTAATCTCCAGCAGTTTTACAGCAGACCACTCCGCTGCTTCTGTGTTAGATGATTGCCCCATTTATTGAACACCTTAAAGCTCAATCATTTGCCAGCTCTGTGCTTGTCTCACAATTTGTGTGTCTTTGGATAGTTCCTACTTACATTGTAAATGGGCCACAATGGAAGAACTTGAAAAGGATCCTCGTATCGCACAGAAGATCAAGCGATTTAGGAATAAACAAGCCCAGATGAAGCACATTTTTACTGAGGTGAATCAATACTTACTTACTCATTTGACTGCTGCTTTTGTTGCATTAAATACTGGGTTTAAGTTTCTAAGTCCACGGTGAAGTCCTATACAGATCTTTTCCTCAAGCCAAATTGATAAGAGCGTGCTGATTTGCAGCAAAACTAGTTTAGATTTAATTAAGCCAAAGGAAACAAAATATCCACCAAAGTGCTGAGCATCAAACCTTACAAACTGGCAACTCATAAGAACATGCACCTTGGTCTGAATACCAATAAATAGTGAGGAGTACGCACACAGTTCTTTCATCCCTGCAGTCCCTCCTCCCAAAAAAGGGTTTTACTCAAAGACTTAAAAAACAAAAACAAAAGCTAAAAGTGTTAGAAAAGAAATAATTACATTATATAAACTTGGGAATTTCTAAATATTGTACCTACAGAAAGAGGAAGGATTAATGGATGTGAATATTCAACAAATCTGTAATAGCTATATATCAGAACATACCACAAACAAATCTTAAGTAAATAATTAGGAAATATATATATATATATATATATATATACACACATATATATATATATACATTATGTACATACACATTTTTCCTAATTATATACATGCACATACATTCTTTTTATCCAATATGGGAACCTTTCTATTTATATTTATGCACACTCACATGCACGCATTATATACATTTGACTAATAGCTTTAATGATGAGAAATACTCTTATAACTCAATAAGAAAAATAGAAAACCCCAAATAGAAAAAATGGACAAATTAACAGGGAATTCAGAAAGAAGGAAAAATTGGCCATTAACCATACAAAAATGTAGTCAATTTCACTAGTAATCAAAGAAATGCAAATTAAATGGTAATCTTCAGCCAGCTGCTAAAAAAAAAATGTTTTTTTTAAATGGGACTCTTCTAGTTTTTACTTATCAAATCTCTGAGGGTTTTAAGAACAGGTATTACCCATTGCTGGTTAGAGTGTGGGGAAGGGATGCTCTCGTACATTACTTGATGGGAACACAACTTGGTATAACCTGTCAGAAAAGCAGTATGGTAACAGACATCAGATGTCCCAAAATTTGCATTTCCTTTGTCCCAGAAATTCTAATTCTGTCATTTATTTTAAGGAAATTATCAAGTCTTTACATAAAGACTTAGCTCTAATAAAGGGTTATTTATATTAGTCATTTTCTCTAGTTGGTGGGATTGTGGTAAATTTTCTTTTTTTTTTAATGTAATTTTCAATTTTATACGGATAACTTTTGAAGAAAAAAAGCAATAAAAATTATTCTTAAAACATAAAGTCACTATACCCTAAAAATGCACACAGATGCACACACTTACCAACTCATTATTCATGTTGTGTTCCTTTTTCTCATGTGATAAACAATTATTTTAGGATAATGTCAGTAGACATTCTCCTTATCCCACTTGAAATCCTTCCTTTTTAGCCTTGAAGTTTGGCCCTGCTCCTCTCCATGATTGTTTTAAAGCCCATGAGAACTGTTTTTTCATGGCAGTGTTCCTCTCTAATGAAGAGTGGTGAAAGGAAGGTGAGGACTGGAATCAGAAGGACCGTTCTTGAAGCCCAGTTGGATACTCCATATTTTTGGAACATTTTATTCACACTTCTAGTTTAGGAAGTATTTTCAGTGTAGTAACTTGTTTACATGTCTCTTTCTTCCATTTTAAGCCCTGTGAGACAGACAGAGCCCGTCTTTCTCCTGTTCCCATCGCTGGTACTAGGCACAGCTAAGGGACACCATCCCCCTGCTTCAGACCCTTCAGCACTTCCTGTTTTTGTGGAATAAAGTGCAAACTCCTTACAATAACCTACACAGCCCTGTGTGTCTAGTTTCTGATATATTCCCAAGGGAGTGGTTTTTCCTTGCTTACAGATAGAGGAAACAATTAGGGTGTATAGAGATAACGTAACAAGAGTTCATACTCTTGTGGGAAGGAAAAACTTTTGAGAAATTTGGAACACATCGTGAAATTAAGGAGGACTAATAGTGGAGAGTAGTTCCTATAACAATCTTTGGTCTTGACCTGTTCAATATTTTTATTAGTAACTAGGATAAATTGTATTCTTATGATATAAGTAGTAACTTAGTTTTGAGTAGAGCATCTTCATATCCATTATTTACAACTATTTTTTTAGGTAGCCAAAGCAGGCTCAAGAGGCTGCGGGTTCCCACGTACCACAGAGGTGGAGGCCTTCTGATTCTAAATCATTTTGAAAACTCAGAATACTTTCTAACCAGACCCAGTGATGGTAGAATAAATGACAAAGTCAAAGTCCAGGCTTACTTGGACAGGCTAGGATAAATAAAATATGGAAATAAACATAATGCCCTACATCGGTATTTTAAGACTTTGGGGGGGCTGGCTGGTTAGCTCAGTTGGTTAGAGCGCAGTGCTATAACACTAAGATCAAGAGTTCAGATCCCCATTGGGGCGGGGAGGGGGACGGGTTTACTGCCCCCACACGCACCCCAAAAAAGAATCTTTATAATTTTGAAGAGGGGAAAATAGCTGGATAGCAGTTCTAGGGAGAAAAGATATTGCCAGTTAAATTACCTACAAGTTTACTGTGTGCCAAGAGTGGGGTATGCCTGCTTAACATTAATCCTAGAGTACACTAGTAGAACAGTCCTGCTGTGCCTCTCTTTCTTCATTCCTAAGACCGATTGTGTTCACTTGGTTACTGGGATTCAGTGAGGGACTTTATAAGACTTGAGGACAGCTGTAGGAGGAAAGTAATGGTGGTTACAAAATTTTTTTAAAAGGCATAGCTGAGCAATTGAGAGCAAAGATGGATAGTGGACTGCACAATGGTAAGAGTCTGGGCTCTGGAGTCAAACTGCCAGGGCACAGGTTCCAGATCCCTCCCACCACACCTGCACCCACACCCACAGAGCTGGGGTGGCCTTGGGCCACTTGCCTAAGCTCCTTCAAACTGACTATCCTCATATATACGAAGCGGGACTCCTAACAGTATCAACTTCACAGAATACCTGTGAGGATTAAATGACTCAGTGGTGCTGTTGTTTTTCAGCTTTATTGAGGAATAATTGACAAATAAAAATTATATATGTAAGGTGTACAACTTGATGTTTTGGTGTATGTATACATTGTGAAATAATCAGTATTGTCAAGCTAATTAGCATATCCATCACCTCACATAGTTGCCATTCTTTTTTTCTTGTGGCAAGAACACTTAAGATTTACCCTCTTAGCAAATTTCAAGTTTACAATATAGTATTTTTAATTGTCATCACCATGCTATACATTCCATCTCCAGAACTTATTTATCCTGCATAAGTGAAATTTTGTACCCTTTGACCAACATCTCCCCATTTACCCTTCCCCTCTGCCCCTGGCAACCACCGTCTTCCTTTCTGCTTCTATGAGTTTGCTTATTTAGGTTCAATTTATAAGTGAGGTCATGCAGTATTTGTCTTTCTGTGTCTGGCTTATTTTACTTAGCATAATGTCCCCTAGGTTCATCCATGTCGTTGCAAATGGCAGGATTTACTTCTTTCTTAAGGCTAAATAATATTCTATTGTATTTATATATACATCACACTTTATATATCCGTGGATGGACACCCGGGTTGTTTACATATCTCGGCTACTGTGAATAATAAGTGACAGTGTTTATAGAAGTGGTTAGCACGATGCCTAGCTCTTAGTTATTATTCCATACATGTTAGTTCTCTGTATCATTAAGAGGTCTGGAAACATGGAGTATGAAGAACAGTGCAACCAACTGGGGATTATTTAACCCAGGTAGGGGGAGAAGTTGTTGAAGAGCCAACACATACAGGAGAGAATCAAATTACTTACCAGTGCTGGAGAGGAGGCAGTTATGATACCAATGAGTGACAGCACAAGGAAAGAAGTTAAGCTGTAATTTAATAGTAATGATGAAAATGATCATGATATTGTGAGGGTACTTCAAAAGTTCATGGAAAAATAATACAAATCTTTCGACGAACTTGTTGAAGTGCCCTTGTACTACTAGACAAATAGAGCTCTAAAGCTGTTTTGACAGTGGATCAGATCTTAGAGAGTAGTAAATTTCTTAATAGGAATAATTGAATCTGAGGGTGGGTTTGCCAGGGATGCAAATGTGTTCCTGCATTGACTAGATGATGATAGTTAGCCCCTAAAGTGCCTTCTAGCCTAGAGGCAGTAAGAACATTCCAGCAGTCCAGGAGGAGGGCTCCTGGGTAAGAAAGACTTGGGTAAACATTCCAATTTGCAAGGCTCTGTGATCTTCATCACATTACTTGACCTTTCTGAATTGGTTTCCTCATCCATAAGGCAATTGTAGCACCTACTCCATAAGGTAGTTGGAGATAAATGAAAGCAATTAGCATAACTCTGGACACACATTAAGCATTTCTAAATGTTGTTTATTGTTGATTTGTAAGTAAACTTTTTTTGAAGCATAATATGCATAAAGATAAATCCTAAGTTCACATCTCAATGGATTATTACAAAATAAATACATTTGTGCAACTACCACCTAGATGAGGGAATAGAGCGTTATCAGTACCTAGGAAGCTCCCCTAATGCCCCCTCCCAATGTTAACTGTTGTTGTTACCGTTGTTATGAAGAAAAAGAAACTAATTCCTAGTTGCCAAGGGCTGTCTTTGGAACAAGGAGCAGTAAGAAAAAGGGAACTCTTCTTTTGCTGATTTTTGCATATGGCTGTAACGATCAACAGGGAAAGTCTTATCTGGCCATGGTGCTCTAAGATGGTTGGATCCTTCAGATTCAGTCAGGGAAAGCAGGATTTGGGGACAGTGAAGAAATGTCTGTGAAATGCCTTTTATTCTCAAGCAAACCATTTCTTTCTGTGTTTCCTGATAGTGCTTAGCATAGGGGTCACTTAAAGATAAAACTCTGGGTGTTAGATTTGAGGGAAGGGGCCACATTTCTTAACTGTTCTCTTCTGCTTGTCTTAGCCTGATGAAGACTTGTTTAATCCTGACTATATAGAAGTTGATCGCATCTTGGAGGTGGCCCACACCAAGGATGCAGAGACAGGGGAGGTAGGTGTTTTTTGCCCTTTTGCCTCTCCTTAAGCATCTTCCCTTCTTTCTACATATTTTGCTTGTTTTTTTAACATGTGGCCTTTGTTTTAATAGTATTCATGTGTTGTCATGTAGGGTGGTTTTTCAGGGGTTGGCAGAGTGTGGTTGACTCCTTTAATCTAGAAGAACATTGAGTTTCTCTCCTGTTCCCTACCAGGAGGTGACTCATTACCTGGTGAAATGGTGCTCACTACCATATGAGGAAAGCACATGGGAGCTGGAAGAAGACGTGGACCCTGCAAAGGTTAAAGAATTTGAGTCTCTGCAAGTTCTCCCTGAAATTAAACACGTGGTAAAGTATCCATATCTGTCTGATGCCTCTTGTAACATGGACTTTTATGAGCTGTGCACTATGGATGTCTATATGGAAGTGCACTGTGGATGATCCACCCATATGGATGTGCACTGTGGATGTTTATCTGTGCTCCTAAGTGGTTTCTGCAGTATCTTACCTTTGTCACTCCCCCACTGAATCTGCAGTTCAGGATGTTTTCCTCTGGCTTTGCCAGCACCCTGATCAGTGTTAGGTCTGGACTCTTATTTTGATATATGTGACATTTGAGAACCTTGGATATGGGCTTAGGTTTCTTGGTATATTGAGTTAGGAAGACAGAATGTGTAAAAGAAATACCTGGAGTGGGAAAGAAGCTCATTAGATAGTATCTTTCTTGTTTCCAATTTCTTATCTCTTGTTACATCAATGACCTCTTTTCTTTGTTTTTATCCTTTTCCTTCATTTGAATGGAGTATTCTTGAGGAGAACTGTCCTTTATCTGTAGATCCCTGGTACCTCTCAGAGTGTAGATTTTGAATATGTGTTGATTGGATCAGTTTGTTTTTCTGTTGTTGTATTATCACTCAACTGCAAAGATGCACTGGGGGACCTGAGAAGTAGTTGTATATAGAATATCAACAATTAAAAGGAAGAAGAATTGAGATCAGAGCCTTGTTAAGGTGTAACTCACTTGGAAAGAGAATTAGTAGTTAAAGAATATGGCTGCAGGCTGGAACGATCATTTCTGTTAAAAAAAAAAAATCACCATTTTTATATGAAAAACTCCTGTCCAGTTTTTAATTAGTATTATTTGTTGCTTTTACATCACTGGAAGGTTGACACTCAAAGTACTAGACCTCAGCATTGAACTTAGATACCTGTCAGAGTCCATTCAAGAACAGTGTTTTGTTTTTGGTTTTTTGGACTATGAAAGATGTACCAGAAGTATCTTGAGATGCAGAACTGTGATTAGAAATTTAGTTTATAGTTTTTAGTGTTTTTGTCTGCAATATTGATTATTAAATTCCTCTTTCAGGGCCGGCCCCGTGGCTCACTTGGGAGAGTGCGGCGCTGGTAGTGCCGAGGGTTCGGATCCTATATAGGGATGGCCGGTGCGCTCACTGGCTGAGCGTGGTGCGGACCACACCATGCCGAGGGTTACGATCCCCTTGCTGGTCAAAAAAAAAAAAAAATTCCTCTTTCAACCTTTTTCTGTGTATATGAGGGTACTTCAAAAAGGTTCGTGGGGCCGAGCCCATGGCGCACTTGGGAGAGTGCGGCGCTCCCGCCGCGGGTTCAGATCCTATATAGGGATGGCCGTTGCGATGCGCTCACTGGCTGAGCGCAGTGCGGCCGGTCACAAAAAGGACAAAAAAAAAAAAGGTTCGTGGAAAGATTTGTGTCATCTTTTAATTCTGTTTTTCCACAAACCTTTTGAAGTACCCTCATACTCTTAACTGCTATCTGGTTTTAATTCAATTTGTCAGTTGTTTAGGATAAGAAACAAGGTACAGGCCCTGCCCCCAGGAGCTCACAGTCTAAAGGAAGAAGCAGGTGTGTACATGGACAAATGCAGTACCAGGCTGATTGGGTTGTGCGGCATAATACAGAAGCCCACCAGTGTGGGAGCAGAGTAGAGAGAATTTCATTCTGATGGGATTATAAGTTATCACGTAGAAGTAGTCAGAATTCTTACACATTCTGTCAGCCTGACTTCCACTTAATTCCTCACTTACTATATGCACATTTGGCAGGAATATGGATTCTCAGTGTTTTCAGGCAATTTCACATTTTCTTTACTTCTTTGCGGTTGTGATGCTGTTGTCCTCTCCATCTCTCAGTGAACCATAGTATCATTTTATAATTGTCTTTTTTTCCCCTAATTTATTGTTTCTTATTTAAAAATGCACATTTTGAAATCTTATTACAAAAGTTGTAAATTGTGAAACGGTAGCTAAATATATAATTAAAGCTGAATAACTTTTTAAAGGGATCTTATTCTGGATTTTGAATTCTGGAGATGTCCTTACCAGTCTTGATGAATAGGACATTCTATACCTAAAATCTCTTTGATAAAAATGGGTTACTAGTAGGTAAAATACGAAATTTTGAGAAAGGAAGAAACAAAAGTGTAAGTAATGATTGCAAAAGGAGAGCAGCAGTCCTTTCAAGGCCAGACCTCCACTGGAAATGTCAAGAATTAGTTCTTCTCTTTTGAAATTAACTAAGTAGGTACTGAAAGTTGTGGAGTCTTGGGGTCATTTGTTTCCTACAGTGTATACCACTTAGGAGACATAGGTGTCAGAAACTTCTAGCTGATTTCAGGTCTTATGCTTAGATAGCTGAAATTCCTGGCCAGTAGATGATGTAAAACTAAAATCTTTAGCACTGGAGAAAGAGGGAAAATCCAGATGAGTGACTAGGGAGTGATGCCTCCACATCTAGAGCACTTCCAAGGCTGAGAAGTAGAAATATACAGTGAAATTTTTTATATGGTATCTACAATGCAGATACCAAGCCGCTTGAGTCACTAGAGGTAAGGAAGCTTCCAGAAAGGCTCTCCGTGATATCTGTGGAGATATGGAGTAGAGTAGGGAACAATGCTTCATGGGATGGGTTGCATAGTATCTAGTAGAGGAGGGAAGCATATGCCCTATGAAATGGGTTGCAGAGGAGGGAAGAACGCCCTGTGGAGTGGGTTTCAGGCTGAATGGTTCTTGTAGGCTAAGAGGAAGGTAATTTCTTTAAGGGAACAGAGCAGGAGAATTTATATAGGAATATCTTTGCTTAGAAGCTTATTCTTAAAATAATTTTTCTTTTATTGGAGTGATGTATTTTTTCTCCTTTATTTCTGAAAACACTTGTAAGTATATGCTGGTAATAATATTCAACAGAGTCTCATTTCAAAGTGCTTATTAGTCTAATCATAGCTGTAGTAATTTTGTAGGTAAATTGTGATGTATTTTTCTGAAAGACCATGGACAGCTTACACATTTCCAAATATGAGAGATATAATTGGGGATATTTTATTAAATCTCATATGCAAATGGATTAGTTTTAGTTAATGTATATCAGGTGTAAACTTTATTGCAGTAATCCAAAGTAGAATTACCAAAGACTAAAATTGCTGTTTAGAGAAGCTACTGTATCAATATTCCCGTTTATAACTACAGGTATAGCTAAGAACATTTTATTTGTAAGACCTTAAAGTGTCAATTTAGGGCTTAATTTGTCTTAAACAAAATAATCGAGTCTCTGTCCAAATAATAAAAAACCTAAATAAACGAAATTTTTGAATGGGATGGCTCAGTACATAAAGATTTAAGTTTTCCCCAAATTAATAAGTGTAGTGTAAGTCTAATTGAAATTTCACTGAGATTTTAAGAGAACTTGACAAATTGATTCTAAAGTTATACAGAATAGTAAATAGCATAGAACAGATAAGACATTTTTGAAAACTAATTCCCCATCAGATATATAGCTACAGTAGGTAAAAAGTGTGGTTTTATTGTAGTAGTAGACAAACAAGCCAGTGGAATGAAATGAAGAATCTAGATTTAGCTCCATGGATATACTGGAACTTTGTATATGTGATAAAAGTGGCATTTTGTATCAGTAGAGAAAAGATTAATTATTTTAAGAAACTGGTGTTTCATATGGAAAAATATTAAGACTGCCTCTATTTCGTTTAGGAGGAATTTAATTTGCAGTTTTGATCCTCAAACTTTTTGCCTATGGGCTGATTTTAGAAACTAACCAACAAAATATTTGACTTACTGTGCTTCCTTAGCTGATACCCTAGACACAAAGAAATAATAGAAATTGTTTATAGAAACTAAAAAACCTGACTAATATTAGCGCAGGGAGATTAAAGTGTAAATGGTAGTGACATCTAAGAGTCTAAGTAAAACAGTGTAACACTTACCAAGATTTTAGTTAGGTCTGTTTCTCTTCTTAATTACTTGCAAATTTTATAGAGGTGTTCTTTGTTTAATCTGGTAAAATCTGGAAAATATATGTTCTGCACATTACTCAGAAAATAATAAGAACAGTTTAAAACCAGCCTTAAGCAGTGTTTGAGACTTGCCACTTTCCCCACTATTACCCATGGTTTGCTAATAAAACATCATTCTCTGTGTATTGTGCTCCCTGCTTTGCTTCTTAGGAGAGGCCTGCCTCAGACTCCTGGCAGAAACTCGAGAAGTCTCGCGAATATAAGAATAGTAACCAGCTCCGGGAGTACCAGCTGGAGGGGATGAACTGGCTTCTTTTTAATTGGTATAACAGGTGAGGAACCAGAATCAAAAGTTTGTATCTGGAGAAATATTGTTGCCTTGGCCTGGAAAACCTAGAGCAGCAGCAGAGTGGTGAGAGGGCACAGCACAGCCATTGATTAAGGGCGGTAATCTTTGTACATCAGTCATTCTAAGACTTGATTTACTTTTTTTGTCAGGTGTTTTTCCAACCAAAAGGAATGATCTTTAGATGTCACTGACTTTATGCTTTTTTATTTTTATTTTTGGCTAATCTAACCAGCAGGCAGGGTATAAATAATAATAAAAACTAGCTTCAATTTCATATCTATAAAGTGCGATAAAGTCTTCGCTGATGACCTTACAGGTCAAGGTGTATTTCTGAAGCATCTTTATAGTCTTTTTAGTTACAGCCAACCTCTACAACTTTCCTATACTGATAATGAATTACCTCCTTCCTATATTTCTTACTTTCTGCAGGAAAAACTGTATTTTGGCTGATGAGATGGGCCTAGGGAAAACCATCCAGTCCATCACATTCCTTTCAGAAATATTCTTCAGGGGAATCCACGGCCCTTTTCTCATCATCGCCCCTCTCTCCACCATCACTAACTGGGAGAGGGAGTTCCGGACGTGGACGGAGATGAATGCCATTGTATACCATGGCAGCCAGATCAGCAGGCAGATGATCCAGCAATATGAAATGGTGTACAGAGATGCACAGGTAAGCCTCATGTGAGTCACTTAGACCCAGGGGCTGGAAGAGCTCAGAACAGCCTTCCTGTCATTTACATTCAGGAGTTTTAGTGCCCTGCACCTTAGGTTACTGTTGACTTACTTTGTAGAGCCATGTCTTTGCTGAGGCTGACTTCTTGCTCCTCCCTGGTAGTTTATTTTAATTTATGATAAAACACAGGACTGTGGGACATGCTTTCCAAACTCTCTGAGATGTACCAGAGGCTTTTTTAGGACATTGAAAGCTTGGCTTATTGGTTGTCTTATGAAGTTGCTTTTATATGCGGAAGATTTTATCTGAATTTTTATGTTCTTAGTGAAGAAAGTGAGCAGAAGAATTAGTATGCAGAGGATGGATTCCCAGCCAGAGAATTTGGAAAGGAGGTTAACAGATTTGACAGAGAAGGATAAGGAGAAAACAGATTTAAAATTGTTAAAAGCACAACAGAACTTTTATAAAAAGTTTTATTAAGTATAATCACTTCACTGAGTATGGTTGTATGCTTGGCCTGGGCACTGGTTTTTATGATTAAGCAAGGTAAAAATTAAATGACTCCAACCAGAGGAAATCCAGTGCTCTCCCTAGGGATTTTGTAGACAGCAGAAGGAGACACTTAAAAGAAATTTAAGATGTGCTCTAACATGATGCAGCTCAGTCCTTGAAATGTGATGGCAATACCGAGACAGGCTGAAAGACAAAGACGTGTCCTGCCTGGTAGCACTTGTCCCAAGTGAACTGAGATCATTACTGTGAATCTGTGCTAGAACTTAAGTTGCAAGGTAAAATTAATTAAATGTGAAAAATAGCAGGGGGTTCCTTGGACATTCAAGCTATGCATTCTTTAGACTGACGCCTTGCTGGGAATGCATGAATCACCACCCATCTGCTTTCCTTATTATGGCAATTAACAAATAAAAAGCTTCTTTGCTGTTCTTTCCATATTGCTCATCCCTCTCACCTTTGTAAGTGCACATGCTGTCTTCTTTGTTTGATTGATGCTGTGAGGTCTCTCTTATCTAAATAGCTGGTTCATTCTTATGTTCTCTCCTTCTTCACATGAGGAAGAGCAGTGCTTGTTGGCTTCTCACCTAGGCCCTAGCTTTTATAGTGCTGCCTCCTCTAATCCAGCAGGTAACCCATAGCAGGATTATGTAGCTATGGTGTAAATCTGTGCCTTCGGTTGTGTCATTCTCAGGGAAACCCCCTTTCAGGAGTCTTCAAGTTCCATGTCGTCATCACAACATTTGAGATGATCCTGGCAGATTGTCCAGAGCTGAAGAAGATTCACTGGAGCTGTGTGATAATTGATGAAGCTCACAGATTGAAGAATAGGAACTGCAAACTCCTGGAGGGTCTAAAGCTCATGGCCCTGGTGAGCATTAGCAGGCTCTTTATATAAACACAGGTTCCTTCTATTCAGCATGGAAGAAGCATTCTTTAGCCATTAGTCATACTGCATATAGCTTACTTGTACATAGTCCTTTTACTGTAGATTTTCTTTTTGCTCTCTATAGTGTGATAGTGTAGGAATCAGATTTTTTGTTATCATTATAAACTGGGTCAACAATTTGACGTTTGCCACAGATTGATTCCCAGAGGGACTTAGGTGATTCTTAAATATGAAATTTTTGACCTGGAAATGTAAGGTGTTTTGGCTTGTTTCTGGGTCCCTGAATGAACTGGTACCAAAGATGATGGCCTTTTAACATTACTTCCTTGGCACAGTGCCCAGCATGTGGTGGGTAGGCACTCAATAGTATTGAGTGAATGAATGAATAGTTGCTTTAATTAACAGGAAATTGCTGCTAGAATCAGTGATGTGAAAGAAAGGTTGACTGTGCCCCTGTGAAGTGTTGGCACACTATCTTTTCATTAAAAGAGAATAGAATTGCCCCAAATTGAGCACAGAATGCCCTGGTGTAATTTTCTCCACTAAAATATACAATTTTGGTGGCTCAAGCCTGTTCATCATGTGCTTTTAATTTGTGCAGGAACATAAGGTGCTGCTCACTGGAACACCCTTGCAGAACTCTGTGGAGGAACTCTTCAGTTTGCTAAATTTTTTGGAGCCATCACAGTTTCCTTCAGAGACTGCTTTCTTGGAGGAGTTTGGAGATCTGAAAACAGAAGAACAGGTAATTAGGGGCCTGAAGGATTAAGGAGTCAATGTGATGGTTACCTTCACCATCAAGGAGAACAGCAGGTCATTGTGGGACATGATTTAGCAAGTTCTCACGTCCTTGGTAAAATAAGCATTACCGCCTTTAATTTATGCATTTGTTTGTTCATGTTGTGGAGAGTAAGCTGATTATGAGCAGTTCTTACTACTCCAGAGGATAGGGGAGTCAACATCCAGAATAACTCACGTTAGCATATCAGGTGTCCTGCTTCAGTGATCTCACTTCCATGTTCAGTGCTGGTGCTTATAGCTCTGGCCCCAAGAGCATGGTGCTTTCTTCTGCTTCCCTCATCCTTCAACCTTCCTCTTACATAATGTGCAATATGTTCCCAGGCCCATCTTCTTGAGTACAACACAATACACAGGTAGTGAAAAAAAGAAGGCAGTCATATACCTAGCATAGTTGTTAGGTCCAGCTTTGTCCAGATCAACTGAATTTCCTGTTTTTGAAGGTTCAGTCCTGAGTCTAGCTTGTTGGACTCGAAGCTGACTTAAAGCAACCAATATTTATGAATATCTATCTATTATGGGTAGAAATCTACTAGAGATTATAGAAATAAGCCAGACAAGTTTAAGTGCTGTAAGAGGAATAAACAATAGACTTGGGGACTTTAAAGGAGAGAAAGGTCACATTTGCTTGACAATCAGGGAAGACTTCATGGAGAGAGTACAATTGGAAAATGCATTTTGTGGGATGGGTAAGTTTTCAACAGGTGGAGTGAGAAGGGTGCCGACTACTTTGCATAGGGAAAAAACCCAGCATAATGAGAGCCATGGAATTTGTTCAAAAGTGGGGAATCATCTAGCTGAGCTGAAAATGGGTGGATGAATTGAGGAGTATGAGGCCAGAGGAGTTTAGGGTTGTATTGTTTTAAGATCTTGAACAACAGGTTGAAGAATTCAGTAGGTAATAGGGAAGCCATGAAACACTCATATTGCAGGAATGATGTAACTAGTTTTGCCAAATTAATCTAGTAATGGTGTGAAAGTAGGTTGGGGCTGAGAATTTGGGGAATGAAAAGGTTTTGGAATTTCACTAACAGATGTCAAGGGTAGACTGTGGTTCCGGTCTGTTGTTTTCTATTTCCGATGCAAGTCAGACTTTGAGAACAATGAATAATCAAACTTAATCCCCCTTTTTTACATTTGTAATATCTGTTGATCCTTCAAAAGCCAACTCCAACCATCTCTCCATTTTCAGGCCATTAGAAATGCATCCTCTTCTCCCATTGCACTTAATTTGTGGTATGCATTTTTTCTTCTTCCTAGACAATGATCTCCTTGAGGACAAGGCCCACATCTCCAAAGTTGTGTTTGTTGTATTGACCAGCACAGTGTCTGGCATATAGTATACTCTAAATGATTCAAGGTATGAACCAAGAAAAGGGCAAAAGCTGAATACAGCATGTGGCAGATTGACATTTGTCCCTGTCTTTAACAATTAGCTAGTTGTATCTCTTCTCTTTGGGTTCTTACATAGTAATTCCTTACCCGTTTGGAGGATTAGATTCCTAAGAACCCTTGGTTGGTAAAATCAAGGTCTCATAAAAGGGTTAGGTTTAAGATTGGAGTGAGTTAGGAGAAAACCATAAAAATGGCATCAAAGGTCTATATTTTAATTTTAAATTTTTTAAAAATTTATCTTTTTCTAGTTGAGAAAAAGTGTATGTATTTATCATGTGCAAATGATGTTTTGAAATATGTATGCATTGTAGAATGGCTAAATCAAGCTAATTAAAATATGCATTACCTCATTTATTTTTTGTGGTGAGAGCACTCAAAATCCACTCTCAGCAATCTTCAAGAATGCATTGTTGTTAATTATAGTCACCGTGTTGTGCAATAGAGCTCTTGAACTTGTTTCTCCTAACTGAATTTTGTATCCTTTGACCAACATCTCCCCAGTTTCCTCTCCATCCCACCCCCCACCCCCTACCCCAGTCCCTGGTGACCACCATTCTACTCTCTGCTTCTTTGAGATGTTTATATTTTAAAGCAAGGCAAACAAAAGTTCTAGAAAGCATCTGTTTCCAAAGTAAAGCATATTCATCATTGTCTAAAACTTGCTCCAGTAAGTAACTCTTCTAAATTACTCTCTGTAAATCATTTTATGCTTTTTTGGAAGCATTGCCACAGCACACAGCTTATTTATGCAGAATCTACCCCTTTTAAATTTTTTGAACAGCTCTTTCTGACTTGAAACTTAATTTCTTTTGCACTTTCTTTTTTTTTGTTGTTGTTGTTGTTGTTGTTTTTGTGACCGGTAATGGGATCGCAGCCCTTGATGTGGTGTCGCCCACACCGCGCTCAGCCAGTGAGTGCACCAGCCATCCCTATATAGGATCCGAACCCACGGCCTCGGCGCTCCCAGCGCCGCTGCACTCCCAGCGCCGCACTCTCCCGAGTGAGCCACGGGGTCGGCCCTTCTTTTGCACTTTCACTTTCCCTTATTTTATTTTCCCATCAGGGTTAATCTTACTTGTATCATGTTTTAGCTCCAGGTTAACTCAGGTGCTTTGACTCCCTTACTCTGTTCTTGTCTTCCTGGGAGAGGGAACAAGTCACCTTGCTGGTGCAGTCAAGTGAGTAGAGATCTGCTGTCCAGGCCTGGGCTGTGAGGAGAAGCACAGACAAATCATAGCAAAGAACACTGTCAGGCTTAAAGTGCCCCTGATGTGACAGCATTCTGTATATACTGCTACCCCCAAACATGTAATGCTGCTGTTGTCATTTAAAAGGTATAGGAGGAATCCATTTCCAAATTGTATCTACTTCTTACTCTGTTCTTTCAGTGTCTAAGTCTTCCTTTTGCAATATATCACTTGTACCTCCTAACATGACTTAAAATATTCTTCAAGTAATTACTGTGCATGTGTGTGTGCTAGAGAAAGAGCGAGAGGGGTTTGTTTTCTAGAGAATAGGTACTGTCTTTTGTATCTTTCTCCTTTTTTATTTTGTGAGATTGCCACATAGGCAATTACTTGTGAATTAAAACCAGATCCCTTTTTTTCCTTTCAGTACTATTAGAAATTCCCCATTTTCAGGAATCAATTATGATGTTTCTTTTAGTACTATGATTAGATGTTCAGGAGATCATAGTGAATGTTGGAATACCCCAGTAATCATTAAATCAGGCTTAGGGTAGGTGAATAGGTCTCATTTCCTTGGACAGGTAAAGAAACTGCAATCTATCCTAAAACCAATGATGCTTCGGCGGCTGAAAGATGACGTGGAAAAGAACCTTGCTCCCAAACAAGAGACGATCATTGAAGTGGAACTGACCAATATCCAGAAAAAATACTACCGTGCCATCCTGGAGAAGAATTTTTCCTTCCTGACCAAGGGGGCAAATCAGCACAACATGCCCAATCTCATCAATACCATGATGGAGCTGAGGAAATGCTGTAACCATCCCTACCTGATCAATGGTGAGTCGGGGCACTAGGGAGTAACTCGGGACTGCCATGGGTCTTTGCTGCAAGCTAATGATAATGGGAGATCTCATATATGTATTGGATTTTCAATATATGCTAGAATGTATGTATTCTTACCTTTTTACAGAGTATAAAACAGGTTCAGAGAGGTCGGGGAATTGCCTAAGCCATCCAGCTAATAAGCACACAGCCAAGTTCACCTCTGTGCCTCTGCAGTACATGCTCTGCCTGGCAGAAGACGGATGTCATTCATCAGTTTGCTGCCCTTTATTTATTCGCAGTCTAGCCTCACTTTCTGCTTGTGGACTGAGAAATGTGTGTGATGTAGTTGAATAAAGGAAAATGCTGCAATGAGAATAAAACTCTCTGTAGATAACTTAGCAGTTAACTGTACTAGTTAGAGAAGATGTTGGAAAGTGTTTTTACAGTAAACTTTTCGAGAAATTTTTAAAGCAAAATGTGACTTGGATTCTCTTACAGCTAGTCTTTGTGATGTCAAGAGGTATGAAGATCTTTTTTGTCAACTTTCTGGGAAGTTTTCCTTGCTTGGGTGAGTCAGCTTAGGACTTGGTACCTCAAATCCTTTCTCTACTTAGTGGGACTTCCCAGGAAAGCAAAGCACACGTTCTCTGCAAGATGTCTTTGCGGCCACTGCTGAGCCCTCCACTGAGGGCACAGAGCAGGGATGCACACCAGTGGCCACTTGCTGGACTGCTGGTCCAGGACCTAAGAATTCACTTCCTTTTTGTAGGATGTGTAAAACAGAGAGCAGCTTTTACCCTTATATATTGCTCAAGGAATAGTTTTGCTTCATTCCCTTTCAGGGGCGGAGGAGAAAATTCTGGAAGATTTTCGAAAAACCCACAGCCCTGATGCCCCTGACTTTCAGCTGCAGGCCATGATTCAGGCAGCAGGGAAGCTGGTGCTGATTGATAAACTACTCCCTAAGCTGATTGCAGGTGGCCACAAAGTACTCATCTTCTCGCAGATGGTGCGCTGCCTCGATATCCTGGAAGATTATCTCATCCAAAGAAGGTGAGCTCATGTCAAAGCTCTGCATCCAGCACTATGGCTGTGGGTGGTTCCTTTCCTTTATATCTTTTTTTTTTGGCAGCTGGCTGGTAGTGGGATCTTAACCCTTGACCTTGGTGTTACAAGACTGCCCTCTAACCAACTTTGCTAACCAGCCAGCCCATCAACAAAACATTTAAAAAATGAGGAAAAGGAATCTCCTCTTAAGGATTAACAGAAACTCAAAGTTAAATCTTATAACCAAATATACTCAGGTTTAACCGTCTAGAGTAAATTTCATAGTATAGTGTGGAGTCCTTGCCTTGCTTAAAAAAAATTCCACATGTTTATTTATGTTCACTTTAGTTGGAAGAAACAGAATTCAAATAGCATTAGAAAATGTTAGGAAAATAATGTATTTACATTTTTGTTGCTTGATGATGAGAGAAATACAGCCTGGAAAGCATCACTATGTCAGGTTTCTAAAAGAGCTAAAGCTGGCAGGCAACTCCCAGAGAAAGAATTTGGGGATATTTTATGTCCTTTCCCAGCAAGCTTTCTAAGGTTTTATGATATACTAGCTATGGCATCCCAATTAATTTTCTTGTTTGCACCCCTATAATTCATTGAACCTAAATTTCACTATTCATGCAGGTAAAAAGTCTATGATGTTATATGGGTTATTTGGATTCTGTGTGGGAATTATTTGTTCCTATCATACACTGCACCTTAGATTTTCGGTCATTGTGATAAATCAGTGATCTGAAGATGATAAATGGTTTTTAGAAAATTTACTCTTAATGATAAAAGACTTTTCAAGGTCATAGAAACTAGTAGCCTAGGCATTGCTAAGTTTAAAGAAAATATTTGTTTTCATATGTAAAATCATAGCAAATCTCAGATGTCTTAACACATGTTCTTATCCTTTAAGATTCCGTTTGCCCATATAAATTACATGTACTTTATAGAAAGAATACTAAAGGAAGATTTGTATTATTTTTTTCCTTCTAGGAAGCTACTACAAATAAATCAAAACTGGTAAAGCAGTTTTGTAGTTTATAAATTCACTATAGATTAGGAACCCATTGCCAGAGCACTTGCTTCTTATATTATCTTAGTCTTCAAAATATATACAACTATTAGTTTGCAGATTTTTGTAAAAGAACTCCCCCAAGATGACTAACAGTGCATTTAACAGACTTTGTGTAAATGCAGAAGTCTTTATTTAGCTCCCTTTTATGCTATTTTTTCTTTATCATTTATTACTCAATATTGTGTTCAAGTTACTTAAGTATAAATGTGGAATTGTATACCACCACCTCTTGCACAAGTCCTCATTCATTCTTGGAGGTTTACCTTTCAGTCTTTTTTCTTTCCGCATACATACATTTAGTTTGTTTACTTTTTTGAATTGTGATAATACTCTACATTCTCCTTTTAACTCACATTTTTTATTTAATATATTATGAAGTTTTTTCTTTATTTTTCTATAACAAAATTTTGGTAATCTGCATGATATTCTGTCTTATAGGTTGTTTCCAATTTTTTATCATGTTAAGGGACTCTATGAAGAAAATCCCCTTATAGTCATTGTGAATGTTTCTAGTTATTTCCTTAGAATAAATTCCAATGTACATTTTAAAAAAAATTTAATACATATTTCTAAAACACCATCTAGTAAGAGTGTTTTATTTATCAGCCTTTCAGTACTGTATGAGAATGCTTTTTTTCCATATTCTGATCAATTCTATTAATACTCTTAATCTTTGCTAAGTTAGTAAGCCAAAATTGTGGTTCTTCTTTTAATTAGTATTTCTGATTACTAATGAGGATGAATCTTTTTTCATATTTATTAGCTTTTTATATTTCTTTTTTGTGGATTGCTTATTCATATTTTTCCTCTCTTTTGTTACTTTTTGGCTTTTTTGTTTATTAATCATAAGAATTGTGTCTGCTTAAGAATATATTGGAAATACTTTTCTCAGTGTTGTTTTTGCCTTTTTTTTTTTTGTCTTTTGTCTTTTTCCGTGTCCGGCAACGGATCGCAACCCTCAGTGTTGCCCCCGTACCGGACCGGGGACCGGCAACGGGATTGCAACCCTCGGTGTTGCTCCCGCGCCTCGCTCAGCCAGTGAGCGGGAACCGGTCTGTATGTGGGATCCGAACCCTCGGGCGGGAGCGCCGCCGCGCTTCCCAAGCGGCGCACTATCCAGTGCGCCACCAGGCCGGCCCTTGTTTTTGCCTTTTAATTTTCATTATGGGTATGGGTTTTTATTTTGTCTTTAGGATTTCTTAATTTTATAATAGTCAAATCTTTGTCTTAAAACAACTTTAAGCTTAAATTCTTTTTTATGCTTAAATTTAAGCTTACACGCTTAAATTAATGTGCTTTAAAAGACTTCACCCACCTCTCAATCATGAGATCATATAAACATTCTGAAGTATTTCCTTTTCATTCTTTTATGATTTCTTCACCCCAACCACATCCAACAGGGTTCTTCTGGCCTTAATTGTTATCATTACTTTTCCTCTTCTTAGTTTTTATTTTTGTCAAAGTTGAACATGTAATAAGTATTTCCTTTTCATTCTTTTATGATTTCTTCACCCCAACCACATCCAACAGGGTTCTTCTTGGCCTTAATTGTTATCATTACTTTTCCTCTTCTTAGTTTTTATTTTTGTCAAAGTTGAACATGTAATGTAGTATAGAGTGAAATCATTCTATTAGACTTATGAAAAAAATGTGTTTCCTATTTCACTCTCTCCCTTTCCCCAGTTTCCCACACCCCCAAAGCAATTACTTTGAGCTCTTTATGCTATTTCTTTTGGTATTTATAGCTAGTAATGTTATTAGTTGTAATTTCTTGTTATTTTTCAGTTTTAGGTATTATCTGTCTCACTGTGTAAGATGAGTACTTAGCCTTCTTTCCCTGCCTCTCATAACTGCTGTGTCTTCAATTTCCTGTCTTCCCATCTTCCCAGTGTGCCACAAAATACTTTAGGTTAGATTGATATTCAGTGTTTATGGTGATTTATGAAAATGCTAAATTACAGCTCAGCTGTGTAGTATGCTGTGTACTTCTTCTTTCTTGTACAGTTTTTATTTTCCTTCAAGCTAAAAATGATCTTATTTGATCACTTATTTTACCATACACTTATTATAATTGGGCTGCAACCTTTACCTGGTTGTCTAAATTTCCTCTCATTATATTCCAACACGTCAGACCCCTCTTCTCAGGCCATGTTTCCTGGGACCTCTTGACCTGCTTCTCCCTGTCCCATTGCTCCTCCCCCCAGTACATAGTTGTCATCTGTGCTCTGTCTCCTTTCATCATGCTGACAAGTTTCTTTCTTTCCCTCTTGTTGGCGGGTTCCATGTTGGAGCACCTCTTCTAGGAGCCTCTGAGAAAGGGTGAATGATAGCTAAATTTTGAGACATTGCCTGAAAATGTTTTTAGCCTGCCTTCATTCTTAAGTAATAGTTTGGCTGTATTTGAGATTCTAGGTTAGAAATCCTTTTCCTACAGAATTTTGAAGGTGTTACTCTACCGTCCTCTAGCTTGTAAGTTTGCTGTTGAGTTCAAAGCCTTTGGGATTCCTGGTCTGTGTATATGATGTTTTTTCTTTTTAGAAGTTTGGTGTTTTCTCTTTGTCCCCAGTCCTATGAAATTTTGCAATGAACTGCTTCATTGTACTGGTTACTAAGTAGATCTGTCTTTGAAATGTAAGTTTCTTTGGTTCCAGGGAATTTTCTTGAGTTTTTCTTTATTATTTCTTTTTGTTTTCTTTGTGGATCACCTATTATTCATGTGTCAGACCTTCTGGACTGATCACCTAATATTCCCTTTTCTTTATTTTCTGTCTCATTATCTTTTGCTATATCTTCCGATAGACTTCTGCTACTTTATCTTCCAACTTGAACCCCTAGGTTTTCTTTTTGTAATTATGTATTTAATTTCCCAGAACATTTTCTTGTAATTTTTCAATTTTTATAGCACTGTTTTTTCACAGGTATAGTCTTTTCTTATCTTTCTGAAGTTGATCATGATAGAATTTTTTTTATCTATGTCTGTTTTCTCCAAGTCATATTTTTTCTCTTTATTTGTTTATATCTTTCATATCAGAATTCTACATTGACATTTTTTTCTTTCAGCAATTTAAACTGTAAATCTACTGTGTTCTGGCTGCCATTGTTTCTGATGGAAAAAGTTCTGCAGTCATTCAAATTGTTCCTCCATATTCAATGTGTTGATTTACTCTACTTCCAAGATTTTTCCTTTAATTTTTAGTTTTCAGTTTGACTGTGATGTCTGGAATTCATTCTGCTTGGAGTTCACTGAGCTTTTTGAATTTGTAAATATATGTCTTTCATCAGATTTGGGATGATTTTGGTCATTATTTCTTCAATTTCTTTTTGGCCCATTCTCTTGTTTCTGAGACTACAATTACCTGTGTAGTTGACCCACTGTCCCACAGGTCCATAGGTTCTGTTCTTTTTTTTTTTTTTTTATCATTTTCTTTCTCTCTTTTGTTTTGATTTATCTGTCCTCAAGTTCATTGACTCTTTTCTCTATCATCTACATGTTTAGTAAGCCCACTCAGTGCTTCATTTTACAGACTGTATATTTTAGTTCTAAGATTCTCATTTAAGTCTGTGTTTATTAATGTCTTGTTTCCTTGCTGAGATTTCCTACCCTTTTGCTTGTTACTTACATTCCTTTATTTCACTGAGCACAATTATGATAGCTGTTTTATAATTCTTGTCTGAATTATGACATTATAGGTTTGGCATCGGTTGATTGTCCTTTCCCTTCAGAATGGATCACATTTTCCTGTTTCTTCAGATGTTACATAATTTTGAATATTTTCCTAGATCTTGTGAATGTTATGCTGTAGAAATTTAGGATTCTATTATAGGGCTCCGAAGATGTTGACAATTTTTATTTAGAGGCAGTTAACTAGATTTGACTCAAAGTGCAAACTCTATTAGCATTTCTGGTAAGTAGTGCTCCAATCTCAGTTCAGCCTGCTTACAGCCTGCTGCAAGCAGAGGTCAGCCCCAGACTTAGGTAGAGTTTATATCCAGAGTTCAGGGTTCTACATCTCTATCGCTCTACTTTCTGGGACCCGCTCTCACTCTCTGGTAGTCATAGCTTCCCAGGCTCCTTCCCTTGGTGCCTGTCAGAAAGGCAGAGCTTTTTATCAGAGTTGTAGCTGCCCTACACCTCTGCTGCTATAACTGCAGCCTCTCCTCTGGCCAAAATCACAAGTTTCTGTTTCTCTTCAAAATCTGTCTGCTTTTTTAAACTCTCCAGTGCCCTCAGGTAGGTGTTTATGCTCATTTGTTTTGTTTTTTATATCTTGTCAAGACTTTGTGATTGTTATTTGCTGGTGGGATGGTGTGATAGGATCTTGCCCCCCCATACTAGAAGCAGAGCCTCTGTGTTTGAGATCTGGAGTTCTCTTAGGATGTCTGGTGTCCTTGGCCGTCACATGGTTGGATACTGTTGAGCTGGTTAGAAGCTCTGGGTATGTGAGCAAGGCTGTTGACTGCAGACATCACTCTGCATACATGAGCAGTATCCATCCAGCTGGGCCATTTCATTGGGAACCCTTCAATGCCAGGATTTTGGAGTTCTGTTTCTCTCCTCTCTCCTGCCTAGAGGATGGAAACTTTACTAGGAGCTGGTTGTGGGGGAGAGTTGAGAAAGAGTAAGAGCTCTCAATATTTCTGTCTGTCCCCTTTTTTCAGTATGGTATACCCACCTTTAACTATGGTTAGTATCTCCCAGAGTACAGAGGATTGAGAATGTTTATTTTACACTCTTCAAGGCTGGGGTGGATGATCAAGAGACTGATATTTCAACAAATATTCCACCAGTTCCCCCGTTCTTAGAATCCCCACTTGCAGGAATACCTAGTGCTACTATGTTTGTTCCCTTTGGATATTCTGAGATATTAGGTGGTGTCTTGCCTGGAATTCTGCTTTCTTCAAATCAAATACCGCTTGGCCTACTTTCCAGCTTTCAGAATTTTATCACTAATGTTCTGTTTGTGGATTTATTTGGGAGAGGGGGTTATGCCCTTTAAAAAAATCCTTTTACTATCATTTTGCTAGAGGTTTGTGAGGATCAAAGAATTAAATAATGCATGTTAATCTGTAATCTTTAACTAGATTTCTTTGATTTTCTTTTTTTGTTTTAGTTTTCAGTCTTTTCTGTAATTGTGGTAATTGCCATATAATGGAAGTCTCATTTTCTTTTCTTTCCAAATATGTCTAATTTTCTAATTTCTATTTACTAAAATAATCCATCTTTTTCCCCTTTATATAAAGTACTATCCATGAAATATACTGAGGTATATGTGTTGGATATATGTCTAGCCTTCCTATTCTTTTGATCAGTACTTCTACTCCCTTGCTCACATATTATTCCAGATGAACTTGAGAATTATTCTTTAAACCCATCTGACCACTCTAGCCCCAAACTCCAGAAAAATGTTTGTATATGTATGTGTATACATATATACACATTTACATATCTATATATAGATATATTCATTTTGGGGGGGGTTTATTGGCATTTATACATTAACTAGAGTAGGACTGACATCTTTGCAAAATTGAGGAATATGCAATTCACCACGCTTACTCAGGCCTTTTATATGCACCATTGATTCCATAATGTTTTTATGAAGTGTCTGCCTTGTGTTAGAACCTCTGTAGGTGTTATGGACATAGTGGTGAAAAAACAGCATGGCTCTAGTGCCATGTTACCAGTGCTGCTGCTTATTTCTTATTAAATTTAATCCTAAGTGTTTTACATGTTTGTGGCTGTTGTGCATGGGATTTTTTTTTTTTCACTCTTTATGTTTTCCAGCTGGTTATTGCAAGCTTTCTGAGGTCAACATTTCTTGTGCCAAAAATGTGTCACTCCCTCACCCTCTGTTCCCGCCCTCAGCCAGTTTTACTGAAGTTTTTCCAGAGCGCCACCTGCTTCTCGTTGATATTTGACAGGGACTCAGAATTATAGTTTGATGAGCCACATTGACTCCTAGGGATCTTGTTCAAAATACGTTTGTCGCAGAGGGTTAAATGCTATGCCGAATTCTGGTGTGGAAAATTTTACGATGTTTGCTTTCTTCATTCAGACTTACTAGCCCTCACAGTTTTCTTTGTTCTTGAGCCTCCTTGCCTCTCCAGCTGTCGGATTGGTTTTGTTCTCATTTAATTTCATGCCAGACTCTCATATAGGAAAGAGGGCATAGCCAGAGGATATGGCTCAGAAGTAAGGAGGGAATGGGGAATGATTTAAAAGAGCTTAAGTAATTGTTTTATGTTCTTTGAGAGCAGTCCCTCAAAACTAAACAGGTGATAGAAATGAGAATGATTGTTCCAACCATCCTGCACAAGTTCTAAAACTGTTGTTACATCTTTGCTGACAAAACAGTGTCATCTAATTTTATGGGAATTTTTTCCCTAGGTGACAGCTGGGCTATGTTTCATTATTTATTGATTTCTTTTCCTGCTTAAGGATGTGCTAATTCCCAGCCTCACTTTGATCCATGGCCCTCTAGCTCCTCTCTGATGACTAGTCATGTCTTGTCAAACAGCATTGAGTCTTCGTTTCATGTGTGTGATGGCGGTAGGGGCGGGAGTGGCCATGGCTATTGTTTAATTCAACCCTGTCTTCTGACTCCAAATCCTGTGCTGCTGCTTCTGCATCACATATATTTTTAAACTTCTGTGAGTAAGCATTGATTTATCAAAATCATTTTGATAACTAATTATGGTTTCTGCTTTCACCTTCTGTTAGAGTTACAAGCTTCTTAAATTTACAGATGTCCATTATTTATCTTTAATTTCTCTTTTAAGTTTTCAGGGAAACCTTTTTGTTCTACTGCATTGAAAAGTCGGGTACTGTGTGAAAGCCGTAAGTCAAACGGATCAGGGTTTAACTCACCAGTTAGGTGATGGAGCGGGGTATTTTGCTTGTATGGTGTTTTGTTTTGTTTTTAAGTTTCTTCAAGCCTCATAGGATTATCATGAGAATTAAAGGTGATGATGCATATCAAGCAATGTCTGGCACAGAGCTGACACCTAAGGACTTGCTACTAATATTATTGTTGTGGTTGTTAAAAACAATGATAATTGTATCTAAGGAATTCAGACATCTAACTTTTAGCCTTTGTCTTATGGAACAGAATCTTTTTGGTCTGCCTCCATGACAGTCCTGTCACCACCACCCATTTCATTTGCTGCTATAGTTCCTATATATTATTCTTGAGTGTATTATAATTTTTTTTAAAAAGGGGGGGAAAAAAAGAAACTATACCCTTACTTCCAGGTATGGTTGCATTGTGGCTTTGTAAAAGGAAGACAGCATTTTCAGGCTTGTTTCTTTGCTTTGTACATGTTTCTTATAAGTCTGAATTGGTCACATTTCTTTATGTGTATTTCCTTGAGTGGTTTCTTTACATGGCTTCTCCTTTTCTTCAAGAAAAGCAGGGTTAGGGCCGGCCCGGTGGCGCACTGGATAAGTGCGCCGCTTGGGAAGCGCGGCGGCGCTCCCGCCCGAGGGTTCGGATCCCACATACAGACCGGTTCCCGCTCACTGGCTGAGCGAGGCGTGGGAGCAACACCGAGGGTTGCAATCCCGTTGCCAGTCCCCGGTCCGGTACGGGGGCAACACTGAGGGTTGCAATCCGTTGCCGGACATGGAAAAAGACAAAAAAAAAAAAGAAAAGCAGGGTTATATTGCCAAGTTTAGTTTCCTGAAGCCATCCCCAGACAGAGTCATCTACCCCTGGAGTGTCTATCCTTATTCTCTTGCCAGTTATTTATCTAAATTTTAGAGATCTGATTTCCTGAATTCTGGGCTAATGATAAGATTTTTGCCAGGATTCATGGTCTTGACTGTTGATGGGTTTAGGACGACTTGGTCCTTTTCTGACAAGGTTCCTATCACTTCTGCTTTACCAACCAGTTCTTGCTTGTTGGTTAGAATTGGGCCCAGAGTGACATCCCCCTTGTTAATTCATTTATTGTCAGGGTTGGTAAATAAGAAAAGAATAAGACTGTCCAGATTGCTGCTGTTATCTTACTTTTGTCTTAATTACATGATCGCCATCATAAAAGGTCCCTTCTGTGTTTTCTCTCTGTACGGACAGTAGTAATATGTTCCCATAATGGTTTCATTTATTATTCTCTTTCCTTTTACCCTAACCTCTACCATGCTTTTCACCCCAATTTCTTAACTTTCCACACAGGTATATGCCTTCTTAATGATAATTCAGTTTTACTTCCTCACTTTATTTTCCTCTAAATATTCTTCAGTGCTCCCCTCACCCCCACCCCTCAAGATACTCAAAAAATCTCTCCTGTGATTTATCTGTACTTGCTTGGCAATATACTGCCCAGAAGATCTTGATTTTAGCTGTAAACGTGGAGGTTGCTGTGTACCTATAAAGCTTTGAGAAACTGTAATGCTAGAAATGACCCATCAGGGCATAAGAGGACTGCCTGGCAGTATAGTCCTCTTACCATTTTTAGTTTACCTTAAAACAGCTAGACACCAATGTGAACTCTGAGTCCTTATGAGCATTACTGAAAGTAGACAGTTGAGGCTTTTATTTGTTTTTCCTGATCTTATGATTAGGTTCAGTGCAAGTATAAACTGGGAAATGCTTGAGGATAAGTTCCTTGGGCAGTGGGGGTCAATATTTTATGTTTTTAATTCTTTTAGTCCTCAGTTTGTAGCTTGTTTTTTTTGTTTGTTTGTTTGTTTCGTTTTTTGTTTGTTTTGAGAGGGGGGATATTTTGCAATGTAGTTTTAACTGTCTGCCCTACCACATATGTAGGGTGCAGGATTCCTTCTAGGTTGCTGTCATTGGGTCCAAATTTAGAAATGAGGGATTTAAGGCCACTAGTCAACAGCTTCCTGCATTGTTTGCTGTTCTCCATTGAAGTCATGATTAACACCTGGGCTTTCGTTCATTTGGGTCCCCTCAGATACACCTATGAGCGAATTGATGGGCGAGTACGGGGAAACCTGCGCCAGGCAGCCATCGACCGGTTCTGTAAGCCAGACTCAGACCGCTTTGTCTTTCTTCTGTGCACCAGAGCGGGAGGCCTGGGGATCAATCTCACAGCTGCTGATACCTGCATCATATTTGATTCTGACTGGAACCCACAAAATGACTTGCAGGTAACCATTAGGACGATTGCTGTTTACCTTAGCTGCCCCCAAATCCCAGAACATCATGACAGGGCCTGGCTTTGCTATAGAATGTCTTCCATGCTCTTTGCTATGGTGTCAGCCAGATGACAGGTTTAGGACCTTGGTCAGGAAGTGAAACTAAGTGAAAAATAAACAGGCCTGGCTTTGCTATAGAATGTCTTCCATGCTCTTTGCTATGGTGTCAGCCAGATGACAGGCTTAGGACCTTGGTCAGGAAGTGAAACTAAGTGAAAAATAAACATCAACCCCTCCCACTAATCTGAGTGGTTCTTTCCTTTTGCTTTAAATCAAACGATATTTCACAGTGGTAGCCTCCAAATATGGAATAGAACTATTATTTATTATTATTATCTGATGTAATGAAAGATATTAAGCTTGACTAATTTTCTAATTCTTGATATATAGATTGATTCTGGCACTTGCACTGGGTTTGTTTGTTAGATGGTCATGTCATATGTCAGTAAATGAGTTAACCCAAGGTGGGAAAGTCCTCACTAGTTCATTTGCTCTCCACTTAATGCAGCATATTAGAATTTATATGCCAGCTAAGTGGCCTGGTGGATTCTGTTTTCTAGTTTTAACCCAACTAAATAACAAGTGGCTTTAAAAGATTTATTGCAAAGAATGGAGTTAATACATTTAAAAAGCAAACATAAATAAGCAACAAGAAAGTGGCAGAGTCCAGTTTGGAGTTCTTCATCAACCTTGTTTCAAAGTACAAACTGACATTCTAACCAGATTGGACAATAAATCAACCAAAAAGATTCTAATTTGTCAAGGAGACCATTTAGAATATAGATTGGCTGGCCAGTTGGCTCAGTTGGTTATAGCACTGCCTTGAAACTCCAGGGTCAAGGGTTCAGATCCCCTTGTGGGCCAGCCACTCCCCCAAAATATTTAAAATGTCACCAGAATATGTCTAGAATATAGATTTACATCCATTATCATTAATGATGAACTTCATCCTAAGTGTATATTGTGTTCTGGAAAATTTACTAATACTACGTTTGTGCATATGGCATGGGGAAGGTGGGTGGGTGGCTCAGAACCTTTTTCATAATACGGGTACTTGATCAAAAGAAGTTTAGAGGTGCTGTTTCCCAGGACTCAAGAGGTACCCTAGAGGATACTGCAAGGGAAGAGGGAGCTAAGCTGATGGGTGTCTGGGCTTCTTCCCTACCCACCCACTTCCCCAGAGTCATTCTGCTTTATCTTTTTTATTTAATGAGTTTCCAAATTAGCTTTGTTTCAAGAAAGCGGTCTACTAGTTGAAAACCAGTGCTTTAAATTATTAAATTGGTGATGGTTGGCCAAATCTCAGGAAAAATATGATAGATTATCATAAAGCAAATCATGTGGCACTGTGTTCAGCATCCAACTTCAAAGAAAACCAGTGGTTTTGAATAGTTCACCGTCAGGTCTTTCTACTGGTGAAGGGATGTTTGGATCAAAGATGTGCTGTTAGAGATAATGAATAGCCAATTTTTAAAGTAGTAACATATTCAACACTAAAATAGTAAGCAAAAACTAATATTTGATCAGCTCACTATCGAGAACCTAATTAGGATAATGGTATAGATTAGCCAATGGAAAACTTGTCCTGCCATCTGTTTTTTTAAATAGTTTTATTGAACTACAGCCACCCATATTCATCTTTATATTATCTGTGGTTGCTTTCATGTTACAATGGCAGAGTTGAGTATTTGTAACAGAGACCTTATAGCCCACAAAACCTAAATATTTACTGTCAGGTCCTTTACAGATATTTGCTAACCCCAAAACAGATGATTTAAGTCCTTGACAGTTATAAAGTTCTGTGCTGCTTACCTGACTGTGAGGCATGGTACCCAGGAAAACGACAGTATAAGAAACCAAAGTTGGCCAATTTAAGGCCATGTTAGCTGGACATCCCTGAAGGGATATCCAGGAGGGAAATTGGAAGCATGGGGCTTGCATTTAGAATCAGGTAAAGATTTTGGAAACGCCATGCTTCACCTAGATAAAGTCTAAACATTACCGGTCAGTTAGGTGCAATGCCAAGGAATGGAAAAAGTGAGAATGAGGATTTTCAAACCTAATGGAGAAGGTGGTCATCTGAGGGGATTGGTTTGTAGGTGTAGCAACCAGCGGAGGTGAGTGAGGCTGTCCAGAATTGGGGTCTGGAGAAAAGGGAGAAGCTTTGGAATAGTTTTTAATGTCCACTGCTGGGGAACTGGCAAAAGATTAATCAAGGAATAGGACAGAAACTGAAATTGCATGGTGTGAATTTTTTTAGTGTGCTGAGTCAGTTTCTGAACTTCCTCTACTGCTCAACCTGAATGAGGAAATGAAGAACAGCACTAGGGATGAAACAGAGCGGGAGCTTTTACTGCGAAGGTAGCAAAAAGTTAATCAGTGAGGGAGTCAGTGATAATGGCCAACACCAGAACAGATGATTTCTTAAGTTCTTGACAGCTATAAAGTTCTGTGCTCCTCTGTGGTGCTCACCTGACTAAGAGGCATGGTATCTGGGAGAATGATAGTGTAAGAAACCAAAGTTAATGGCAGCCCAAGGTCAAAATTAGAGCTAGAATTCTTCTACTCCTGGTCTTCCAGGCTGGCTACTGCTTCTCTCTTCTTGATTCACGCGTTTGGGGGTTTTAGGTTATTATTGAAGTTTTATAACTCAGAAGGAATTATCCTTTATTTTGCTGGATGTCTGGTTAGACTGGGTAGAAATGAAAGAATTGGGAAGTGTAGAGTAATTGTAGGACAGGAACCAGATCGGTGATTATTGGAGAGTGGCGTTGGTGGGCTGTAAAGAAGATATGACAGAGAGAGGAAGGTCCAAGTTCTGAGTCTCCCACAGAGATGGAACAAGGTTCTTGCTTGCTTGGTATGAAAGGAAAGAGAGCAAGAGGACTGGAAACTGCCTACACAATGATGCACACTCATCATGCACAATGTGAGCACACACATTCCCACTCCTCCTGGTATTGGCTCTTGCACCCAGGTGCTGTAAATATAAAATAGGAGAGAGAATCTGAAGACTACGTCCCTGACACCATTATGTCATTCACAGGACTGCAGCTAAATTAGCTGTGAAGGTCAGTGAAATGACATCTTGACCCAAACAGAAAAAGTTAACTCGCTCCTTCCCCAGTACTGTTCCTGCTAAGTAGGTCATGTTAACTAATACTCAGTCATTCACACACACGCACATACTCTAATATTTTTTATAAGTGAATGAAAGCTTTCAATTATATGCAGTTCTTTAAGATTATTGCCTTTGGAAGATGGATTAGGTCTTAAAACATTTAACGGGGAATAGGTTTAGGTGCATGCATACTGCCTCATATAAAAGTCAGGGCCACAGAAAAGAGAATCCCATCGTGAATAGGGTCTTACCCCTACCCTAGTAGAATTTTAGCACAGCTCGACAGGTCTGAGTTCAGATAATAGAAAATGTGAGTGTTCACTCCAGTCCCAAACAGCCTGGCAAGATTTAATGCAGTCCATGGTTGTCCCCAGTTAGGACACCATGGGGAAGCATTGTCAGTGCCGGGACCACCCATGTTTCTTGACTGATCCTAGGTGGACTCCCTCAGAGCCTGGAAAATGAAGCTAGCCTGATTGTGGGGAGGCTGGGCTCAGCTAAAGTGGACCTGAGTCCCCAAGGCAGGTCTGCAGAGAAGCCTGCTTCCACAGCTCAAGAACAGAGCTCCATTCTCTGAAAAATCAGCTGAGAGGTAGAAAACAGCATTGCTTTTACTGGTGCTTTATTATTGTTAACAAAAACTCTGTTCAGCCTTTTCTTGTGCCCATTTTGCTGGGGTTTTCTGTGCTTTGTGGCTAGAAGTAGAGGTTTAAGACTTGTTAAAGGTATTTTTTTAAATCTAAGTCTTCATAAAACAGTAACATTGAATGTCATATGTTGTTTCCTTTGAAAGTCAGTAAATCATAGACCCCTCCCATGTGTAGATCTGAGTCAATTAAGAAATAGACTCAGGAATGCAATGGAGAATCAGAACATCAGCTTTAGTGAATTGTGAAGAAGTAGATTATACAGCTCGACCTGTAGCCAGTATTAGGCTTTCCAGACTCCTGCACACACACACCGTCATTACTAGGTGAAACTTACCCACCTAGAACTACTGGCAACTTCTGCTCAGGTAAGCCTGTCAGTGACAGAAGACTCTGTTCCTCAAGAGACAAAGGGGAGGGGCAAGTCTACACAAGCTGAGATACTGTCCCATATTTTATTGGTCAGGTAAGTCACTCTGTTGTGTTTCTACCCAGGAGCAGAAATTCCCTCTTGGAAATATGAGGATAGGGAAATGGGTCTCTGTCAGCTTAGAATCACTTTCCCCTTCCTAAATCCTCCTCTTCCCCCTTTTCAGAAAAGCGAGGGCACAGGTTCATTAGGATCCAGGATAGGAACTGGGCACTACTTAGGAATACCAAAAGAGATTAAAGCACTGAAGGATCTCAACAATGTTATAATTTTATCTAGACTATTAGAGGGAAACCAATTTTCAGGTCCCCGTAATGGGGAGATCTTACTTATCTAAAGATAACAGGTAAATACCACATCCTCTCTCAAACCTTGAATATGTCGAATGTTGGCGTCAATGTGTGTAAAAAGTCAAGGGTGTAAAAATTTACCTTTTCTTGCCTTCATTTAGAAGACACAAACTGTGATTCAGTTCTGGTACTTTAGGAGCAGCAAGTGTTGTCTAGGTTTTCTGTAACACCTGAGGTTAAAAAATGGCAAAGGGTGGTAACAGCCTCAGAAGCAAAAAGAGGGTAAGAACTGGTTTTGTTCCTTTTTTATTCTGACCAGGAGGAAGCTGGTATTGGTCCTAGCCCTGAGGGCAGAAGTGGGCCTCTTGGGAATAGCAGAGACTCCAAGCACCTTGCTCTTTCTTTGCTCTATAATACTTCTCCCTCTTGTTCTCTGGGGGGGCTTTTTGCACCTTGAGGCAAGA